TAATAATAATATTATTTATTATAGCTTTACGAAGAGTAAAAAGATTACTTAGAGCGTATTAATATTAGAAATTTATAAAATAGTTATAAGTATTAACGTTACTTATATTATTTTAATTACCTTAGACCTTATTACTAAATAACTTAACGTTCTAAAAATCCTTACTATAGTTTATATAGATTTATACTTATTATATAAATATTTTATTAAGCTAAGTATTATAAAAAAAAAGCACTTTATAATAAATATTATAATATTTTAATAATTATATAAATATTACGAGCTTTATAAAATCCGTTAGATTAGTAATAATAATAACTTAGCTAACGGGTTTATAAAAAGTATACTAAATAAGTCCCTCGAGCAATTTATTAATAAAAGAATTATTATAATTAAGATAAAAAGGTAGATAATACGTAATTAAAAATAGTAATATATTATAAATAATAAGTCGTTTAGTAAACGTATACGTCTCTCGGGCTTTAGTTTAAAAAAAAACGTACGTATTTGGGGCGTAATTAGATTAATAAAAAGCTCTTTTTTAACTACGCTAAATTTAACGATTTTCGAAAAGTTTAGATATATAAATTATATATATTAGAGGATTAAGAAGTAATTAGAAAAAGGGGATAATAAAAATTCTATATAAATAATTATAATAAAAACTATATTAAAATTTTAATATATAGCTTTAGGTATTTTTAAATAGAGGATTAATAATAAATTCTATTATTAGTTCTTATTAGTAAGGGGACCTAGCCCCTATTTTACCCTTTTTTATTATAAAAATAAAAGACTATTAATATTAAATTACGAAGTAAAAAAGGGCCTTATTAAGTAGTTAAATAGGGGTAGTAAGTAGGTAGTCTAGGCCTATATAAACGGACCCTTTTACCTACTTATACTTATAAAGGGATCGCGGGCCCTATTTACGATCTTCCCCTCGGATATATATACGTAATAGACCTATACTGACCTATTGACCTAGTCGTGACCAAAAGGTCTGACCTGCCTACGTGTATACTAACAGCATCTCCAGGAGAGTCACCAGCACCAACTTGGGTGATAATGCCATGCTCAACATACACATAGCCCTTGTTAATTATTTCGTGTCCAGTGAATATTCTGATATCTTTGAGAACGAATGAATTGTTCTGTTCCATGATTGCGTCGGTGCTATTGGCGGATCAAGGCTCGAATTGTTGTGTGAAACGCAAGCCCGCAAGGTCGAAAAGCTGATCAGGAGTACAAAACATGCCTCGTTATGTCTCTGGGTTTCAAGTGGGCGAGTACCATAGATTTATAAGCATTTCGTAGTAACGGCGGAAGACACTTGGTGACGAAAGCCAGTAGCGTTGACTTGTTTGACAGCGAAATCGCGCTTACTCTCAAGGAGAATCAGGATTCGTTGACCCCACGTTAACACACCATCGCATGGACCTTTGATTGTTTAAGTCCGGCGCAGCGCGAGGTCATCGGCCGTCACGGAGAGCGAACGGACGATCGGGCACTTACAGGTCACTGCAGCGAACACCGATGCCAGACACCGACTCAGATGCCGGGAGTCCACTTTGGATGCCGAGCATAGACACCGCGATCGACATAAGCAATCAATGAGACTTGAGAATGCAGCGAATAATTGGCAAATAGGTCTTGAAATCCCGATAACCCAACACAGTAACTTACCCTCTCAAGTCAGCTGAAAGACGGGAACAAGAACTGACCTCATGTCTCCACTTCGGCCTTGTGTTGTTTGTTTGCAGCGTACACGGTCAATTCAAGGCTCAGCCTCTAAATATATTTGGGTATTGAGAGACCTTAAGTTCATTACCAAGCTCATTTTAAATACCTTGCAAAATTCGATAAAAGAACAGGTCATGAGATCGAGACCCAATCCCTGAGACGAAGACAAACTTGACATTTGTTCTTACGTAGACATGAAGTTAGACCCGAAGTCGAAGAGTTGATGCGCTTTAAGAAAGAAAGACCCAGAAAACACTGCGCTGAAGCCGAAATTTGAGATCAAAAGAATTACTGATGGCGGTAGTAAAGCTGTCAAATCCGTTCATCGGACTCCCTTAACCTTTATGGTGGGATGTTGAACAATACTCTTCAATCCCTCAACAGTGGGGCTAGAGTTGCTGGGAGGTGGGTCACAGGACATGACGAGATTCGTGGGAAATGGTATCATCAACTTGTGCCCTTATCTTGTTGCAACACATCCGCATTGCGACAAATCCGAGTTGCTGCTTCGCACCCTTGGAGAAACTTTGATAGAGTTCTAGAACGACGGAAACAGCAGTCATGCCGAAGACTATCAAACACCCAATCAACTTTGTTGCTTTCCAACAGCAAGGTGAAAATTGCCCCGGAATTGGGCACCTCGACACAGAATCGCAAAACATTCAACCCCTCAGCTTCAACTCCGGGAAAGCTGTTGAGAACTTGTATCAGGTTATTGTGGCGGGCGAACACACATACTTAGCTGCTGGTCCAGCCTTACACGTTCATGATGTGAAGCTTCTGCCTCCTATCTCAGGGAGAGATATCCTCGCAGTTGGCAAGAACTACATTGAGCATGCAAAGGAGTTCAACAGCTCGGGCTACGATAGCTCTGATAAGGTGGACTTGCCAAGCCATCCTGTGATATTCACGAAGCGTGCCACTTCAATCATAGCGAATGGAGAGGAACTGCATATTCACAAGGGATTCACCGAGAGCGCTGATTATGAAGGTGAAATTGGCGTGATCATCAGTAAACCAGGCTACAAAATCCAAGAAGATGAGGCTTGGAATCACGTATGGGGGTACACCATCATCAACGACGTTACTGCCAGGGAACGGCAAAGAGACCACAAGCAGTTCTACATCGGCAAATCCGCAGATACTTTCTGCCCAATGGTATGTATTCTGACCAACTCTCAACTCTAAATACAGGCTGATACCCTTTGGTCAGGGCCCAAGTGCTGTACGAAAGGAGGACTTACCGGACTGGGGGCGGTCTTTGCGTTTGCAGACTCATGTCAATGGAGAACTTCGACAAGATGCCACAGCCAAAGACCTAATCTTCTCCATCCCTCATCTTATCAGAACGCTGTCTGCGGGCCAGACCCTCCAGCCCGGTGATGTCATCGCTACGGGCACCGTAAGTCTCTTCTATCGGACTACCTGTGATGTGGTAGTTGAATGTTACTAACAACATATGGTTGAAGCCTGCTGGTGTTGGCATTGGCAAAGCCCCTCCGGTCTTCTTGAAACCCGGTGATGAACTCGCCGTCACTATCGCCGGCCTCGGTACTCTGAGAAACAGAGTTGCCGACCACTCGCAGATGAATCCCACTGAACAGAAGATCCAGGAGCGATCGATGGATCTGTTTCGCCTCGATAACAGCGAGAAGTCAAAGCAAGCCCAATTTGGCCTCAACAGGAGTATTGGTCGCTTCGGGGCAGGTTACCAGCGACTTGGTGTTGGAAAAGACCCCATCATTCTCGTCCATGGTCTTGGAGGCACCAAAGACTACTGGCTGCCGTTGATAACGTCTCTGGAACTCGGGAACTCCGCCTCGGTACACGTGTATGATTTCGCAGGGCATGGCCATACACCGACACACCCTCTGGAGACCATCACCGTCGATTCACTTACTCAAGATCTTTCGGGAGTCTTCAGTCTAGCTGAGGCGGACTCAGGCACATCCCCTGCAACTCTGATCGCCCACTCTCACGGGTGCTTGGTCGCCATCAACTACGCCCTCGCCCATCCTGGACATGTCAAAAGACTGATCTTATTCGGGCCACCCCCCTTGCATCTCCATTCGTCGATCAAGGATCAGTTGGTCAATTTTGCGGCTCTCGCGAGAACTCAGGGCTTGTCCAAGATTATCGAGGATGTAGTCGCGACCCAAGTGTCAGGTCATACCAAGAAGACCAACCCCTTGGCAGTGGCTGCTGTGCGACTCAGTCTCGCGGGTCAAGACCCAGAGGCCTACGCCAAGGCATGTTCGGCTTTTGCTTCGGCTGATGCCATTGGCCTCGGAGAGCTTGATACGGAAACCCTGCTGATTACGGGACAAGACGATCCGGTATCTTCACCAGCGGTAGTTGAAGACTACGTGCAGAAGATCAATGGTTCTCGCAAGGTTGTGTTACCAAACGTGGGTCACTGGCATGTTTTCGAAGACTTTGCCGGTGCAGATCAGAGTCTGCGAGAGTTTTTGTAAGGACAGATAAGTTTACTACATGGAACTGAGACTACAACACGGATAAAATTGGTAGCAAACCAGTGATAGTTTCTCAAATAGGATGTTTACCGCATTAATGTCAGCAATTGAAAGTCGGGCATAAGGTCTTAAAATTACATGATGATGCCTACCTCGTTATTTGCATCGCGAGACGGTTGACATCTTCCCACATGAGGATATGGAGATGTTGCTTTTCAAACTTATGTTGTTAGCGGGGACGCTTTCCCCGAAAGGGCGTTCTGCTGACATCAAAGTTTAACATCACCATGGGTTGTCTCACCTCATGTTCCGCCAAAAAAAAAAAAAAAAAGCCCAACCTCTTCCATATTCAGCCTCAAGTAGTGATACCTCGTAAACCGTCGACAGAATCTCTTCCTAAAGGGACGGACGACTTCTTTCCGCCTGCGCTCCGGCCCATGCAAGAAGTATAGCTTTATCAGCTTTATCACCAGCATCTCAGCTGGTCATCAGAACTTAATATAATGGTGACAGCGTTGGACATGCCCGGGGGACCCTGGTCCATGGCAATGACAACATGCGTCGCGGCGCTCGTCTACTTCTGTGTGAAGTTTTGGGCTGCGCGTCAGACTATATGGCGAATGCAGCGAGCAGGATTGGTAGGAATACCCAGCTTCGTCCAGATATCAGTTGTGTTAATAATCGCTGTAGCCAATGCCGGATTACTCTTCCTTAGGCGGGCACTTCCCACTCATAAAACGGATCATGGGAACTTTACCTTCAGACAGTATCATCCACAACATCATGTGGAAGATATCAGAAGACTATTCCAATGGCATCTTCTACTTGAGTCTTTGGCCTTTTAGCGGCACCATGATGGTTCTCGCAGACGCTGACGCGGCGTCGCAGCTCGATAGCCTGGCTCTCGGTAAAGGGCTCGACATAATCGACCCCATTGAGAAGGTCACTGGTGGAAAGAGCCTGTTGACCATGAAAGGAGATGAATGGAAGCACTGGCGACGCTTGTTCAATCCGGGTTTCAGTGCTGGGTACATGATGGGCTCGACGTCTGTCATCGCAGATGAAGTGGGCATTTTTCGCCAGAAACTTCTGGCCAAATGCACAACAGGACAGAGCGAAGTGTTCTTACTCGAGGATCTGACCCTGAAGATGACCTTCGATATAATCGGGTCTGTTGTGCTGTAAGTATCGTGACCTTTCATCCGAGGTTAGGTAGGAAACTCTATGCAGCATGCTTACTTATGCGGTGACAGAGATACTCGACTTGGTCATCAGACGCGGGATCACCCTTTAGCAGCTGCTCTTCGAAAGCAGATAGAATGGACTTCCTTCCGCGAGCCGCTGAACCCTCTAGAAAGATATCTCACAATCCGTCCGCTCGTTCTCTGGCTCAACGGGAAGAAGTTGGATCGGTATCTATCTGCGGAGATCAATAAGAGACTTGCGGAGCGTTCTGCAAATCTGTCCAACTCAAACGGCACAACGCGCTCGAAGTCGATAGCTTCGCTTTTCATCGATGATTATCTTAAGGAATTGGGAGAGGAAAATCTAGGCAAGAGAGAGAATCCGGACACCATGCAGAAGATCAAACATATCATCACACCCCAGGTACGACTTTTCCTGTTTGCAGGTCATGATACGACTAGCAGCACCCTGTTATACTACTATTATCTCCTCTCCCAGAACCCGGAGATCATATCTCGCACCATAGCAGAACATAACGAAGTCTTTAGAACGGACCCATCACAGGTTCAGGATAAAATTCATAAGGATCCTCAACTTCTTAACATAATACCTATTAGTATCCCTATTATAAGGTAGTTAGTTCGAACTATAAGTTAATAAAGAGATTAATTAAACTATATAAATTTTTATATAAGTATAAAAAAAAGGTTCTAATTATAAGTTAGGCTAGTTATAATAATTATAAATAAGGCCCTAATTAGCCCCTACGTAGTTAGCTATATACTATAATTAAATTAAACTTTTAATTTAATATTAACTTTTTTTTTATTAATTTATTTATTATAATTAAAAATATAATTCGACCTCGGGCCCGTTTATTAAGTCGTTTCCTTTTCCTTTTTTTTTTATTTTTTTTATATAACCTATTTTTCTATTTATATATTAACTTTTTTATTACTTACGAATTATTCTAACTCTTTATTAAGTACTATTTTTATAAAAGTATTAGTAAAGTTATTATCCTTATTAATCTAATATATTTTAAAAATCTCGCGTTTTTTATATAATTACTTAAGAGCTATAATATTAATTATAAGCCTCTTTTTTTTTATCGTTTTTAATTTAATAAGGTATTTATATAATAAGTAAGAATTAGTATAAATAATTATTAACATTAGTAAAAAGTTAAATTAATTAATAATCTTCTTAAGCGTTATTAAAATTATATAAGTAAAGTTAATATTATTAACTATATTATAAACTTTTAATACTAAGATACTTCTTATTATTTACTTATTTTTAATTAATAAGTAATAAATTATATTATTATATATAGTAAATTTATTTTTACTTATACTCTTATTAATTAGAATAATAATATACTCTAATTATAAAATAAGGTCGTTATTATTTATAAATAACTTATTAATAAAAATATAAAGTTTATTAATAGCGAGGTTAATTAAGTAATAAACGAGGCCTTAATCGAGATTTATTTATTACTACTTAAGCTACTTATTAAGTACCTTAATATTTTATTTATTTAGCTTTATAACCTATACTATTTTAATATAATTAAATATTACTTTAGGCTAATATATACTTATAATATATACCCCTTATATAAGCTTAGCTTTATAACCTATACTATTTTAATATAATTAAATATTACTTTAGGCTAATATATACTTATAATATATACCCCTTATATAAGCTTAGCTTTATATTACTTTTTAATATTAATTACGTTCGGGTTAATAAAAATAATTTTTTTACCTTACCCCTTTTATTAAAAAACGATAGTTTCCCTTTTAATTATAAAAATCTTATTATTAAATATTAATAAGTTATTTATTATAAGGACCTTTTTTAGTTTCGTTATAAAGCCTATTTTTTAAAACTCTTTATTCTTTTTTTTTATAAAATTAATATTAAATAAGCCTAATATATTATTAATTTATATTTTAATAATTTTAAATTATTTACTTTCGTACTTAAAGATTAATAAGTATGGGTTATATATAAATATAATAATTAATAATTAATTAATATAAAAATCGTAGTATATAGCTTATTAATAAGTACCCGATTTTACGAGCTTATATAGTAATTTAAGTACTTCGATAATCGTACTTTCTAAGTACTTATTAACTATTTTTTTTAATAAGTAAACTAGGATTTTTTTTATAAACCCTATAGCTAATTAAATATAAGCCTAAGTAATATTACGGCTCTAAATTTCGTATCCCTTTTTCTATAATAATATTATTAATATTATTATAAATCGTTAGTTATAGTACTATATTATAAGTAATTAAGTAAGTAGCGTCGCTTTTTCAATATTACTATACCCCTAAATTATATACTTAAATTTCTTATATAATTAGGGTATTCCTTTTCCCTTAATTTTACGTACTATTCGCAATTTAAATATATAAAAACTTTTATATTTCTTAGGGTTATAAAAGATAAATTAGTAAACCCCTCGATTATATAAAATATTTATTTTAATAAGATCTAATCCCTTATATAACTTTTTAATAGTTATAATAATACCTTCTTTATATAATTTAATTACTAGCTTAAAATTAGCTTTTTTTTTATTATATAAAAAGTATTAAATACTTCGTTATTAATAATAAATTACTATGTTAAGGCTTATCGTCGTAGTCTTTTATAATATCTCGCTTATAATATTAATACCCTTTTAGTACTTTTTTCTTTTTCGTTATTTATTAGCACTACTATAATAATTTTATTAAGGATAATTTCTTATACTTTTATTACTAATTATATAGTTTTTCTTAGCTCTTTTTCTTTTTATAAATTAAAAATTACCTTAATAAGATCTATATAATATAATCTAATTATAGTAATTAATATTTTAAATAACTAATTATAATCTCTCGTAACTACGTAAGAGCGCTCGTTAATAAAAATTAATTTATATAGCCTAGCTTATTACTAAGTAATTTTATACTAAACTTATATATTTAAATTTAAAAATATATCTAAATTAGTCTTTATATTGGGCCTATTATATATAATAATTACCTTATTAACTTACTTTTTTATACTTATTTTATATAGTACTTATATTATTTTTTTAATTATTTAAGCTCGTTAGCTTATATTTAGTAATAATAACGAGGCTAAAGTCGTCCTTAAGTATACTCTAAATATTAATAATATTAATATAAAACTATTAAGTCCTATAGTATTATTATAGTATTTAAGTACTATTTAAAAGTATTCGTTATTAATAAAATCGGAATTTTCCTTTTTAATAATCCTAAACGCCCTTTTTAACTATTAATATACCCTTTTTATTTTTTTAATATTATAATACGCTTTTATAAGTACGACTTTTAGCTATATACTATAAGCTATTATATTTTTTTTAAATTCTATTAACTTAAAACTTATATTAACATTAGTTTTAATACTATCTAGCAGTCCTTAGTATATATTAATTTAGCTTTTTTATAAAGCTACTTATATTATTTTTATTTATAAATCCTAAAGGAATTACCCTATTTAAAATAATATAGCCTCGTTAATTATATATAGGACCAGTCGACTATTTAAATAAAAAATATTAATAATACTTTCCTAATTAAAATTAAGCTTATTACGTAATTTAAATTTGAATTTACGTAGGCTCTATATATTTATTTAGTATTAGTAATATACTTTTATTAACTATTTTAGCGCTCCTATTTTAATATCCTTATTACTTAATTATTTTAAAAAGTTATATAGCCTCGTAATTAATAAGTACCTAAATCTCTAGTATAGTCGTTTAAGCTCATTTTTTATTAAATAATTAATTAACTTCGTATTGTTAATAATCCTTATAAACGCGTACCCCTATTATTATTTAACTATTTTAAAATACTTATTACTAAAGATTTTATTCTTCGTATTATTAAATATAATACTTAGTTAATTTATATTTTTTAAATATAAAAGAAATAAGGTATTAATAAGTAAAATATAAAAAGTTATCGTTTTAAAATACGTCTCTATTTTTATTATACCTAGAGCGATAATTTCCTTACCTAGGCTAAAACTAATTTTTATAATACTTATTATTAACGTATTAAACGTTATTAGTACGATTTTTTATAATACTTAGAATTACCCCTTTCTTTTTATTAACTATTATAATACCTTAGTATTTAGGATAATCCTATAAAAATTATTTAAACCGTATTTTTTATTTATATAAAATACTTATACGAGCTTAGTATTTAAATAATCTAAGTAATATAAAAAGGACCCCTCTAGCTATTTTTAGAATTACTTAGTACTATTTTTTTTTAATATTAATAAAAATAGTATTTTCTTTTTAAGTATTAAAAAAATAAAATTCTATACTATTAAATTCGTCCTTTTATTTATTTTTATATCCGTTATCTAAGGGACTTTCCCTTATTATTTATAAATAAAAGCCTACTTATTAAGAGCTTTTATTACTTTTTATTTATTTAGCTTCGTATATTTTTTAAAAACTAATAATATAAAAAATAAATAATTAATATTATTAAATTTGTTATAATCTAATTTATTAATATAGGGGGTAAGATCTTTTTTATTTTCTAAATTTCTTAGGGGGGGTAGATATTTTAAGTTACTATTTTAATTACTATTACTAAGTTTTATACCCCTAGATCTATTTTTATATATAATAAAAAATTAGCTAAACTAATAAGGGCTAGTTTTATTATTTATTACCCTTAACCTTTTATACTATTTATATAATTTAGTACGCTCTTTTTTAAAATAATTACTTAATTAATATCTATCCTTTTTATAAATAAAGTATTATTTTTTTTATTATTCTATTTACAAACTAAATCTCTACTTATTTAATAAATCTAAGCCTCCTTATTAATAATTACTATACCTAATCTCTTTTTTTTTCTTATTATACGTCTAATTAACTTAATATTACTAATAAAAGCCGTTATACTTTTAAAAATAAGTTTAGTATAATATTCTTATTTTAATATTAAAACTAAATCTTAGTCTTAAGTAAAGTATTTTATAATTTTTAAATACTTAATATAGGGTTATTTTTATTTTTAATATATACTAAACTATAGTATAAAAATATTTAACCTTTTACTTATTAATCCCCTTATTTAGCTAGGTTTTTATTAAGTTATCGATTTAATTAATAAGCTCTTTTAGGATTTTTATTTATAATTTTCCCTCTATTATTCTAATTATAAATATAAAAGAAATTATTTATAGCTTAGATAGGAGCTTTAAATTCTTATTATAAGTCTTAAAACGGCTTCGGATTACGTTAATAATACTAAAAAAGTCGTTCTAATTAAAATTACGCACTACTTCGTAATAATAATTAGAAATTTTACTTATAAATACGATATTAATTACTAAATAATACTAGTATTTTCTAATCCCGACTTTTTTATAATAGTTATAAAATATTATTAAGGTTTTTTATAAAACCTCGTACTTTTTTTTAGAATATAATTTTTATTTTAAAAAGATCTTTTTAAAATTTATAAATTACCTCGTATTTATTATTATATTTTTAATATCTATATATAATCTTTATATTATTACGTATTATTAATAACTTTAAGTCGTTTATTTCTTTTTTTATTAACCGATTAGTACCGAATTTTATATTAATAATAATAACGAGCTATAGATCGAAATAAGTAGAATTATTAATTATTGTACGTTTAATATTATATTTTATTTTTATATATTCTTTTATAATAATAGATTACTATTCATAATTATAAAAAAAGAATCTAGGTCGTTTACCCTTTTTTTAAATTTATTAAAACGATTATACGCTTTATTAACTTATACTTAGTTTTATAATACGAATTCCTTTTTTATAATTATTATTACTAAGATTTCGTATAATTCTTACGATTATAATTACGCTAATAATACTTTTTATTTATAAAAGAATTTATTAATTATTTTTATAATTCTTAAGCTTATGCTCGTAAACTATTTATCTAGCTAATAACTAAGGTCATTTACGATTTTATAAAATAAAAGTTACTTTTATAGCCCCTTTTTTTTATAAACCTTAGTTAAATAGATTAATATTACGTTAATTTATTTATTATTAAGCTAATCCATAATCCTATATATTTACGTCCCTTAATAATTTAAATTAATATCTACTTATTTATAAAAAATTAGGATTCTATTTAAAATTAGGTTTCTTTTTTTTCTTTTTTATTTTAACTTACTAAGGGTCGTACTCTAGCTTATATTTATATTAATAATTATTAACGTATTTAATTTTAATAAAGATATATTTAATCTATATACTAATTATAATAAATCTATACTTTTATTACTTAACGAATTTATTAAAGTTTAAGTAATTCCTACTTCTTCTTATTATCTTATTATTACTCTCGTTTTTACTATTTTTAGTAATTATTATTACCTTTTTAAATTACTAATTATTATAACTATTAAGATCCTCTTTTTTATTTAATATAAAAAAATAAGCTTTAATAGCTCCTTTTTTAATAATAGTAATAAACGTTTATATTATTATAAAAAGATATAATAATTAATTTTAAGATCTTTATTAATTACTAATTTCCGTTATTCTTTATATTTCTAACTTCCTAAACCTTATATTCTCTATAATTTCTAAATTATTTCTTTTTTTAACTTACCTCTTTTAAAATAGTATTTTAAAAAAATAATTAGAAATAAATACTAAGTAGCTTATAAAAGAGCTAGATAAGTTATTAAAAACTAAATAAGTTATTAAATATAATTAGTAAAATTAAACTCTCCTTTTTATAAAATCGAGGACTTAAAAAACTTATTAAAAATACTTACTATTTTATTACTTATATTAAATAGGGTTAATTATTTTAAAAATCTTTTTTTTTATAGCTTTTTAATACCCTATTTTATATTTTTTAAATAGTCTTTTTTGTAGCTTAATTATTATTAAGTAATTATTACTTATTAATAATCCTTTTTATTACTTAGTTAATTTTTCGAAATTAATAATCTCGTACTAAGAGCTTAATATAAAAAAAGAGCTCCTTAGTAATTTTTTTAAAAAAAAAAATTTTTTTTTTTAAAATTATATTTTTTTAGCCTTTTTTTAAACTAATTATAACTTTAATAAGAAGTTATAAAACTATTTTAAAATAGCTACTTTTTTTTTAAATTAATCTCTGAAATTTATAATATTCTTAACTTAATATTATTAAAATTTCTAAACCTCCTCTTTTTTTATTAAACCATTTTTTATATTATATTTTTAAATAATACTCGGGGAGTAATTAAGGGGGCTATAAAGAAATTATTTAAATTATAAATTTTAAAATTATATTTATAAAATCCTTATAATATTAGGCTTTTTTATATATTATAAATTTCTTAGCTTAATAACTTTTATATAGGTCCTTATTATACTTACTAAGAATATTTATATTTAAAAATCCTTTTTTTTAATTACGTAGTACTTTTTTATACTATATTATCGAGCTTATTTATTATATTAATTAATTAAGTAAGTAGCCGCTATATAAGTATTTTTTTTTACTAATTTAGCTAATTAATTTTTAATTACGGGCTAGTTATAAAAAAGTTATTTAGTAAAAAAGCTATTTAAAGTAATAATAAAAGACTAGTTACTTAAGTAGTTCTATTAATTAATATAGTTTAATATAATAAATATTAACCTTTCGTAAATAATAAAGGGCTACGATTACTTAATTCTATATAATATTCGAGAATTACCTCCTTTTTTATCTATTTTTATAAAGTTAATTAATATAAATCTCTTATCTTATATAATATTAAAAGGTCGTTTTTTTTACGTAACGAGATATTTTATTAATTTATAATAATAAAATTTAATTACTAATTAGTATTAATATCTTTATTATAAAATAATTAGTTTAAATTATAAGTTAACGAAGAGATTAATTAAACTATATAAATTTCTATATAGGTATAAAAAAGAGGTTCTAACCGTAAGTTAAGCTAGTTACGATAATTATAAATAGGGCCCTAATTAGCCCCTGCGCAGTTGGCCGTATGCCGCGGTCGAATTAAACTTCCAATCCAACAATACCCTACACCGTGGCGTTCATTAAAGAGGTTCTATGCAAATTTGCCCCGGCCGGTGCTATGCGTCAAGGACGTTCCGACGTCCAGATAGTCGACGCGGACGGCCGCATACTCCCCACAGAAGGTTACAACGTCTGGACTCTTGTGCAGGCTATACATCACAACCCCAAGTACTGGAAAGATCCTGATGCTTGCATTCCTGAGCGTTGGCTCGTTAGCCCGGAAGACCCATTATATCCCCATAAGGGCGCCTGGCGGCCATTTGAGTGGGGTCCACGGAACTGCATCGGGCAGACGTTGGCGATGCTCGAGTTGAGAATCGCGCTGGTCATGACTTTGAGAGAGTTTGTCATCAAGCCTGCGTACGAAGACTGGGATAAGCTTCACCCTAAATCCGGTATTCGTAGCGTCAAAGGTAATAGGGCGTATCAAGCAGTAAAGGGCGGGGGCGGGGCACATCCGGCAGATGGATTCCCTGTGAGGATTGGCCTACGGAGTTGTTGACTAAGGTAATATATAAAAGCACGAAAGTTTGAAGCCACGTTAATACTTCCTCAAGATTCGGTCGTATCGACACATAAGCATTGCTTAAAGTTTCGTCAGTGCCATGTCAGTGATAACGAGGCAGCTTTAACGAGGCAGCTTTTCTCCCATTATTCGGTTCGAAGTTGTGGTTGTCTCAAGGATTAGGTGAGGTCTCCTGAGTCTCTGTCGGAACGAGGCATTTAAATGGTTTATAATATTGGCTGAAGAAGTGCTACGCGACTCCTGACATCGACTTGATATATGTGAACTATATTTATGTAAGTGACAGAAGGATACCTGCCAGAAGACGCTTCAAAGTGGGAATGCGCTTGTCCTCGGAGACTTTTAATTGCTTTTCGGATTTTTATCTAGAACGCTTAGTCCGAGGCAAAGCTGCACGGTCGAAGTCTGAAAGACCCGCATCTCAGGGGAAACGTCAACCCTGCCTTGATCGCGGATATATCCCGCTTCACACGGGGGAAACCCACATCCTTCAGAGATGGAGGAGTCGAAGGATAGGTTGACAGCGGACCACAGACGGCCCTTAAACTATAACATATGGGGTGTCTCAATGCCCGATGATGAAAAGCTCGGCCGCCAGAGTTGAGGACCACGCATTCCGTGGCGATATCGCCGGTATGCCGCATTTCGCAGTCTGCAGTCCTGCGTCCTTGAGGTGGGTTGTATCCGGATGCGCCAAATTGCGGGCTGGCTTTTGTCGAAACAAGTGGAACTGGTGATAAAACAGCCCATGGTGTCCTGTGCTGCTATCCCCGCTACATGAATCAGATAACGTCGATGTCACGAATCAATCTGTGGCGGACTCGGTGGCTACTATGGAGTTTATTGTAAGCGCTTGGTGGGCCTAGCTGCGTGGCATCACTCCCGCCGGCTTGCAGCCCAGGGAAGATTGATCTCCGGGGCCCATGAGCTTCCCGTTTTAATGATACCCTTCTGGATTCTTGCGGTAAAATGACGGACTGCACAGCTCTAAAGTCCGGCTCACCAAGATATCGCAGATCTCAGCTTGGCAGATGTCCTGATATATAAGAGCTTCATTTTCCTCCACTCGTTCGGTATCGGCAGCTTTATTCTAGTCATCAGCAGCATCGAATAACAAGTATATCTTTCCAAACACCTACGACAAAGTGTCAAGTTTCCCCTATACCATAACCATGGCGATCCAAGATGAGAAACGCCAGATCATCATCGTCGGCGGTGGCATCACGGGCCTGACGATGGCGTTGATGCTACAGGATCTCGGAGTTGATTATGTACTTCTCGAGGCTTACGGCACGGTAACTCCCAACGTCGGAGCTAGTATCGGCTTGTTCCCCAACGGCCTTCGAATCCTCGATCAACTCGGATGCTACGATGACATTCTCGCCAGAGGTCAGCCCGTTGAGGAGCATATTGTAAGAAACAGCATCACCGGCAAGCGCATCATGACCCGCAAGTCGAGGAGCCTCATCACTAAACGACACGGCTACCCGAACATCTTCATGGAGCGTTTCGAGCTTTTGAACGTGTTGTACGAGCACTTGAAGGATAAGAGCAGAATCTTTGTCAACCAAAAAGTCAAGAGAGTAGAGAGTCTCAAGGACAGCGCCTTGGTCTACACCAAAGACGGCTCCGTCTTTGAAGGGCAAATGGTGGTCGGCGCAGACGGCGTCCGCAGCACAATCAGACAGGAAATGTGGAGGAACGCGGACGACAACAACGACTCCAGCGCCATTCCGGCCCGCGACAGACAAAACATCTCCTGTGAGCACGCCTGCATCTTCGGCACCGCCAAGCCCACGGCCGGCGTGGGCCCCGGCCAGGTCGTCGGCGCCAGCGGCCACGGCACAGTGGCCGGCTGTATGGGCGGCCCCAGCGGCGAGGTCTTTGTCTTTTGGTTCTGGACGCTGCCCGAGGGCCAACGTTCGTACCCAATCGACGAGATCCCGCGGTTCACGGAAGAAGACAAGAAGCGCGAGTTCGACCGCAGCGTCGACAGCCTTGTCGCCGATAACGGCTTGCGGTTCCGCGAGGTTTTGAAGAACCTCGAGTACAGCGGCGTCACGGCCCTCCCGCACTTTGTGATGCGACGGTGGCACTACGGACGTATCGTCATCCTCGGCGACGCGGCACACAAGTTCAATCCGCTCGTGGGGCAGGGTGGCAACAGCTGTATCGAGTCCTGCGCCTCGCTGGTTAACGCCCTCCAGGAACAGAACATTATCGGCAAGGGTGTCTCTGCTGCGGCAAGCTGGAAGTTGTCCAGTCTGGAAACTGCGTTTGTGACTGTTGAAGAGCAGCGCGTGGAGAGGTTGGCATTCATGGTCGAGCAGTGCCAAGAAGCCATGCGCATGTCTGCTTGGGATACCTGGAAGGGCCGCTTGGTGCAACAATACGTTGCGCCCCTCCTCCCGCTCGCCAGGTGGCTCAACTTCTACAGCGACCAAATTGCCGGCGGCCTGAGTTTGAAGGGTGTGAAGCCGCCTTCTTCGGGCCACGAGTGGCTCTACAGCGACGAGAAGACCGTGGGGGAGAAGGCCATGACTGTGAGCAGGGCGAGCGTCATCGCTACGATTCCTGTCGCTGCTGTGACTGCTTTCATGGTAGCGCGCATTCTACGCCAGGAAAATGGGGCTGGCGGGTCGGTGCTGCTCTCGCGGGTGATGGAAAAGATTTCTAGTTTCCGATGATGGAGTCATTGGAGACGTGGGGGGCTGAGGTTAGGGTGCTCCCTGGTGCTACACCTTCAAACAACTAGATAGCCTGTTTTTTTCTCTTTCATTACAGCATCGTTCATCACTTATACATTGTCTCCTTCGATCCTTTGTTATAGCATTAGACCATCAGCAACACATCAGCGTTCAATAATAGGATACTTGCCTCAAGTTTGATCCCGGCCCAGATCAGTGCTTGCAACATCAACCTTCTTAGCAGTGGAAGGATAAAGTGATCATGGACCTAACTCTCGACACAAGACTTACTCATTGGCCTTCACCGTTTTATCAGAGGTACATGATGTGAGAAAAGTGTTGGCGCCCGGGTCCTCGTTGCCCGATTTGACGCCGCCATAACCTACTTTCAGACCACAATGGTTCGAGGCGTTGAAATCGTATGCCGCACCAAACTTACACCTCTCGACGTCAAATGGCAGTACCCAACGGGTCATCAAGGTGGGACAGTATATAAGCACTTTCTGGAGACACTCCAGACATGCTGCAAAGACCCATGGAGACTTCTTGGAGCAACACTGCGTCTCCCCCGGATGTCGCATCGTCGACCAAATTTTGCCGTCTATAAGACAATTCCATCTCAAACACACACCAAAGTAACAAGAGTACCCCGATCTCCAACAAATTGCACACATTGAAACCTAACAGACTGGTAAAAGACAGATAAGGGCATTGCCCTCCATCTTACCTAGCAGAGCAGAAACCGTGAAGCACGGAAGACAGTAACCACCACAATGCGCCTCACCCTAGCTTTCACCCTCGCCCTTACCCTTACAACCTGCGCCGCCGACTACATCGTAGTCCAAACCCGCTGCCGCTCCTGGGACCCAGCCTCCTGCGAACGCCAAGACAGCTTCTTTCACTTCAATGGCGGCCGGCAGTCCATCAACGCCAATCAGGGCTGCCGCAACGCGCACTCCCGAAGGCTCCTGATATCCATCTGCCTCGACTACGAGACGAAGCGCGGGCACTTCCTCTACTCGCATCAGGACATCCGGTGCCTACGGCTCCTGCCTAAGATTGTTCACCAGCGGTGCGGGCATGGGTGGTTCCGGTGCTATAGCGGGATGTGGGACGAGACGCCGTGTTTGAAGAAGCCGGAGGAGGTGCCGATGGAGGATATCGAGACGTGATGGGAAGTTTTGTACTCGTTGGATTTGTTGCTAGGGGGCTTTGGGGTGTTTCTGGGAATTGGTATTGCGTCAGAATGAATGGGATGGTATATCAGTTTGGACGGGGTGTTGGCTCAGGCGATGAACAGACTTTGTGGGAGCTTCGCCAGGACTAGGATATTCAATCGGACATAATCAAGCCTCCAACAATAACCTACAGATAGTTGAATATTAATTCGCGACTCAATTCGACCGGCCGTTGTGTATTACTTGCCGGCCCAAGCTGGATGATGCTCCACTCTTTCATCTGAAGGTCTTCGAAGGTCGTCAATACTCCTTGGGATGGGGTGAGAGGTACTTAGGTCTGAAAACCTCCAGTCCATTCATAAAAGGTCGGGGAAAGGTGGCCGAGAGGTATGATGGGAGAGTCTTTGTACTAACTTGGAAGCCCTCGAGCCACTGTCAACCTGACCTTTTGTTCGATTCCCTATCGATGGCCTTTTTTACCTGTTTTTCTTCTCTTAAAATCGTAACGCAAGACATCTTCCTTACACGTCTAAGAATTAAAGATCGTCAACAAGTAGTCATCACGCACACGTGAATGGACAAATGAAAGCAGGGACGAGATGTAGATATTTATGTACCACTTGGGGACAGAGGCATAGAGTGAAACCAACGCGAATCCGTGATGTGGGTATAAGCGAGATATAGAAGACTTGGCCGCTATCTAAGGTGCGGCTGTGGCCGTGTATCGTAATGACCAAGGGAGGTGAGGAGTAGGCATCGTCGGTGGAAGATCATAACTTTGAGTCGCCCGATGAAGGCTTCTCCTCTTTCTCTACACTCCCGGAGGCTTCTTGTGCCGTCGTAGAAGCAGAAGCCGACTCAGCCTTCGAACCCGCCGCCAACTCCTTGTCCACACCAGCAGCAGGCGCGGACGTCTCCTCATACCGAGAAACCCCACTCAGCAACTCAGCGCTCTTGGGATCCTCGTGTTTCATCTCAGCCACAGGCGCAGAAGCGTCGAAAACGATGGCAACCTCGTCGAGAGGAGTGGCGGCCCCCTGCGCCGCAAGCTGAATCTTCTTCTTGGCCTCGATCCGGAAGTCCTTTGCGTCCTGCGGTGCGCCTTCAGATC